TAATTAGCTACCATATAATATTATCTAATAAAAAACATTTACCTTACCGTAAAATTTTAGAAATGTCGAGTTATGATGTTAAAAAACTTTAGCTAGTAACAACATAGTGGTGTTTTTTTGTTACTATGTGCAAAAAAGTTTATTTGTTAACGTTGGAAATGTATGGTAGCTTTGAACTTAAAATGGAAAGGTTTACCCAATAACAATCGAAAAAAACCCAATGTAACTACATTTAAAGGAAGTAATTCTTTGAATTGTCGGCAATTACTAAATTTTTAATTGTTGTAAAGTTTGAATGTGAGCTTCTGTTTTCATAGAAAGCAAGCGCCGAAACAATTACAAGTAGTGTTTTTGATATCTATGTCGTTAAGGTTCATTGGTAAAACCGATGAAGTTAGATCCCAGTCTGGGAAGATATTAGTTTTGAATTTTCTTAATTGAAATTCTTTTTTTTAATTAGTATATTGTTCATGCATTATTATAATAATATCTTATTGAGATGTATCTAAGAAAAGCAAGGGAATGTTATCTTTTTTTGTTAATGAAAATTATTATTAAAGTAAGTTAGTTGTTATTAGATATATCAGTCAATTTAGTTATCTGTGATGTTGTATTGTTCTTGGTATCTGATTTAAGTAAGAAGTGGTATATATCGCTTAGATTCTTAATGTCACTCTTAACATTGATGGAAAATCGTTAAGGAAAATATAAGACATTTCAATGAACTCTCTTTTAGATTTATTGTTCTCACGGTGGAGAATTGTAGTGTTCGTATAGTCCATGTGATGATCAGTGGAATGGACATGTTTGGCTAATGCACAGCGGTCAGGGTGAAGTCGAGAATCACTTTTGTGTAGTGTAATACGTGATTTCAATAATTGAGATGTTTGGCCGATGTAGGAATTGTTTCAAGAGAGGCATGGAATGTTGTAGACAATATTACTAAGCCTATCTATGGGAGTCTTATCTTTTATCTTCGAATAAAGATTATTAATTGTTAGGGCTGATCTACATGCAGATTTCCCCAATATTTAAGAGTTTACTATTTAACTTATCTGCAAAGATTAAATTTCTTTTCTATATATATATATATATATATATATATATATATATATATATATATATATATATATATATATATATATGATGTTATGATTTTTGAGGATGCAGTCAGTTTATTTGGCCCACAAGACAAAGAAAACTCTTTGACTTACTGTCAAGCTTTCGAATTTTATTTAATTCTTTTTCAAGATATCTATAAAAAGAAATATAAATTAACTAGTTAAAATTGTTAATTGTCTTACTTACTAGTCGTGAGATTACAGTTGTTAATATTGTACTCTACAAAACAAACCATTATAAATATATTAAATTTTTTTTTATAAAAATAACTATATTGTCACTATATATGTCATTGTCATGGTTTGATTAATGGACATTATATGAATGAAAATACAGTTATTTTATGTGGAAACCAAAACCAGTAACAATAGTTTTTATTATAATTTATTTAATTGTCTATTCGCTCCGTGCGTGACTGACACGACACCTACCGCCTTTTCTGACAATTTTGGAGTCCCAATTTTCAGGTTAAACATATGACATATGTTTGACATTGTTAAATATATGCGAAATTGACAATTATTAATAAATTAGTTTTTTAACTATATTTTTTCAGTTTATGTACAAAATAAATGTAGTATTAAAAACTGGGTTTCTCAAAATTCATCATAATATATCTTTTCAACTCCAAACGTAAGAGAACGGGAAAAATCTAGTACTGACAAATCAAGTTTTTCACGCAAAAGAGCATATAATTAAAAACAATAATAGTAAAAGTTATGATATAAAAGCTAAAGTCATCTGCAGTTAGCTTGAAGCCTTATGAAATATCATTCAAGGTATTATTTATTTAAATTTTTCCTATTTCAATTGCGTAAAAATGAAATTATGTGATATTTACTTTTTCATATTAATAGCAGGAATTTATCTTTTTCTTTTCTCTAATTTATATGTAATCTTTGGGAACCTATAGAAACTACACTCACTGTTTTTGCTATTATTAGCACAATTAAATACGCAACATGTATTTGCACACATTTTTGATAAAATTTATGCGTAAAAATATTTTGTCCAATATTCCAATTTTGTCATATTTCGCCGCTATGCACGCTGGCGTCGTTTCAATGTACCCCTACCATGGTCACGCACGGAGCGAATAAAAAATATAAAAAATATAAATTAATCCAGTCAGCAGTTTGGCTTAAGCACATATGAATTTTTAATGTTAGGATGTCAATAGAAAATGAGATTTTGACGGTATTTATTGATATGTTAATATGTAAAAAATTAATGTTAATTAATGTTAATTAATATTAATATTTATGCTTAAGTAGTATTAAGGTTTCTTTACTGAAGATCATCGCTTCTTTCGTGCCAAATCCATTTTTGAAACCAAACTGACTCCATCCACTGACCTTTTCACATTTCTTAAACAATCTAGTGTGCAGTATTCTCAGGAAAAGTTTTAAAAAGTGACTCATTAGGCTTATTAGTCGGTGGTCCTTGCAGAAGTTCGCATGTGGTGTTTTTGGTAGGGCGATAAATGTAGATTGAAGCCAATCTTTTGGAATCTGGCCCGTATCGTAGATGTCGTTAAAGAGCTTGACAATAATGCCTAGGTTTTCTTCATTAAGTAACTTGATTGTTTCTGGGTACATATCATCTGGTCCTGGGGTTTTGTTACTTTTTAATAGTTTGATAGCGTGTACAATTTCAGCTTTCAAATTACTTGGGCCATACAAATGGTCTCCCAGTTGTGGTGGTTTTTGTGTTCTGTCATCATTGAACAAATTGGCTGTGTACATTTTACAAGTATTAAGTATATCGCTAGGGTCCGTTATTAGTTCATTTTGGTCAATATGTATACCAGTGACTTGTTTTTTTCTAGAAGACACCAGCAATTTTCTTAATTTTCTTGTGAAGATTGAAGCTGCCGGCAAGTTTATATAGGTTTTCAGCCTCGGTGCAAAGTGTAGTCATCCAGATCTCCTTCGCCGCTATAATTTCTTTACGAATTTGACTGTGTATATTTCGGTACCCTACTTGGTCTTGCCTAATCTTACACTGCCTGCGTTGTTCCATCGTCTCTAATATTTCTTCTGTCATCCACTCATTCTTGGTAGCTGTTTTACTCTCGAGTAGAAAAGTGTTGTTCACCTCATCAAATGATTCTTTTATGATGGTCCATGACTTTTCAACATCATCCTCAGTTGCTATATTAGAGAACCTATTGTTTATTTTCTCTGTGTACGCTTCACTTGTTTCATTGTTTTTGAGTTTTCTAATGTTTACTGATGCCTTCGGGTGTTTTCTTTTAGCTGTAGCGAGCCTCAGTTTGATATTTGCTACTAAGGGATTGTGGTCGGATCCTATATCTGCTCCAGGCAATGCAGATACCTTAGTAATAGCATTCCTGTACCTTGTATTAATTGCCATATAATCGATTTGGTTCCTTATAATGCCTGATGTCCGTCTAAAGGCGACTTCCATGTGTAAAGCCCCCTGAGTGGTAACTTATACCAAGTATTCGTTATGACTAGATCTTTGTCTTGGCAGTGTTGTATCAATCTGTCCCCTCTGTCGTTTTTTTGACCAAGACCATATTTTCCAACTACGTGATCTACGGCTACTTCCCCAATTTTTGCGTTAAAGTCTCCTAATACGATGTTATTTCGGTGATTCTTAGTCACCTTTAAGGCTTCGTCTAACTATTGATAAAATCGCTCTAGTTATTCTTCTGGCTTGTCTTCTGTAGGGGCATAGAGTTGTATAATATTTATGTTAATTTTTCCATACAACTGAATAAGTATGGCTCTTTCGGAGATCGGGACAAAGTTCTTTAAGGAGACGCGCAAATTTTCGCTTATCAGAACTCCCACCCCATGTCTGTGGTGAGGGTCTGTGCTATCACTGCATGAGTAGTAAAGGGTTTTACCAGTAGTATTGATCATACCTGTGCCTTCCTATCGCAATTCGCTTATGCCGAGAATATCGATGTTAATTCTGTTCATTTCCTGAATTAGATTTTGTAGTTTGCCTGCTGCAAATAAGCTTCTGACATTCCACGTAGCAATTTTGGTTACCTTATCAAGTCGAAACCGGGAGATTCTTCGCACCTCTTGGCCATTTAAGGCCTGCCCGGGACTAGGGGCCGTTTGTTTTGTTTCTTCCAACATGACAAGAGAAGATCTACGGACGGATGTCCTGAGGAATATAATGCGGTAGTTTCCTACTTGCTTTCCACATCGCAGTACCGTAGCCCTCTAACTGTTTCAGTCTCACCTACGGTATTCTAGTAAGAAGCCGGTTTAGGATCATTTCCTTTACCCCTAATTCTAGTACTGGTGATCGCTGCTGCCCTTCACCAGGTTGATTCTATACTATCCCTAGAAACAGGGTTGCCACGTCCGTTAAATTCACTGTACCGAATACTATATTCTCCAGATTAGATGTATTTCTAGTTAAATTGAAAGTCAAAGTTTGCCCCCCGCCTTACCGACAGGCTTGTGTTTGATGTCATTCGATAGATTTTTCAAAAATAATAAAAAAGTGTTTCTTTTTTTATTTAGAAGCGTATTTCTCGATATATTAGACCATTTTCATAATTTTTCTAGGGTATCAGGATAAATAATTTTTTTCCGATTATATCTATCAACAATTTAACATAAATGCTTCGAATAAAAGTTACCTATTTTTTTATGAGGAATCAAAATCTGCAATAAAAAATGAGGGTTCCAATGTAAGATATTAAACATGACCACCGTCCTAACCACAGGGTGTGGTTATTTTTAACCACAATATTATTATTTTAAATGTTTTTATTATTAAATATTAAATAATTATTATTTTTTTATTAAATTTATTATTATTAAATAATTTTAAATGTATTATTAAATAATTTTAAATGTTTTTATTTTTTAATAATTTACTGTTTTTAGGTCTTTGAACAATTGCAGCGAGTAGATAACCAGTTTTTCAAAAAAGTAATTTTAGTAGAAGGTGATTTACAAAAGCCAGAGTTGGGACTTTCTATAAATGACAAAAACACAATTTTAAATGAAGTAGAATGTATTTTTCATTTTGCTGCTGCATCTAAACTCAATGAATCCTTTGCCAATGCAGTGAATATCAATATAGGAGGTATAATTAGCTTGATGAGGTTGGCTAAGATAATGCAAAAATTAGAGGTTAGTATTGGTAACAAATTAAATCATTTATTGCTCTTTATAATTGTCTATAGTTTATAATTTATAGTTAGATTTAATTTTGTCTCACATATATTTCACCTTCGTCTTCGTCCTTTTTTATATCAATAAAATCGACTATTTTGTCTTTTACATCTTTTCTGCTATATATTTCTAATATGTTTAGTCTACTTTTTATTTCTACTTAATCTACATCTGTAATTAAGGAACCGACAGGTCATTCTGTCGTTGTTTGTCTGTCTCTATCACTCTACATTCTGTGCTATAAATATTAAAGGATACCTAAATATATAATTTGCAAAAATACAAATACGACATCTTCGAATTGTATTAGATCCACAAACCATAAATTTCTCTAGTGTTTAGTAGGTTACAAGTTGGTTCTTTTTTAATCCGCTGTCGTGTTGTTGTATAGGTTTTTTTTGGATAGTTTCACTTCATTTTGGATAGTAATTTTTTATTACTTTGGTAATACTTTATGTTATACTAAAATGTCTTCACCTAGAGTCGGCTGTAGTCGGGGTGTTAAAAAACAGCGTCCAAGATCCGAAAAAAGCTTGAATCCGAACACAACAAAACTTTCTTCTTCTTCTTCTTCTTCTTCCTTCTAGTATGTAGACTTTAAAGCCTGTTTCTTCTTCAATATTAGCCTCCTAAATTGTTTAAATTGTAGCACCATCTTTTTCTTGGTCTGCCAATACTTCTTCGTCCATTTGGTAGCTTATCTCATCCTATTCGCACTATTCTATCCTCTGCCATTCTACTGATATGTTCGTTCCACTCCTGTTTTCGTTTTGTCACCCACCCATTTATGTCTTCTATATTGCATGCTCTTTTTATGTTTTCGCTTTTTTCCCTATCCAACAGACTTCTCCCTGATATTCGTCGGAGTATTTTCATCTCTGTTGTTTCTAGCAGTCGTCTCGTTTTAGATGTGTCAGATCTTGTCCCCGCCGTGTATGATAATATAGGTCTAATTGCTGCTTTATAGATTCTTGTTTTTGTGTCTTGTCTAGGTGTTTATTCTTCTAGATTGTGTCATTAAGAGAACTCGTCACTTTACTTGCTTTTAAGCTTCGTTGTCGTACTTCTTCTTCAACATCTCCGTAACTAGTTATGTATATCTATTCCGAGATATCTAAACATTGCTTCCTGATTTATTATTTTCAAATCAATTTTGATTTTACACCGTAGTGGGTATTTAGATGTTGTCATACATTTGGTTTTGTCTGATATTATCATATTGTATTTCTTAGCTGTTGTATTGAAGATATGTGTTAATCTTTGGAGCTCGTCTTCTGTCTCTGCGATTAATGCGGCGTCATCTGTATAACATAATATTTGAATTTCTTGTTCTGTAGCCACGACCTTTTACTGGCATACGGTGAGTTAGTTTTCCATTTATCCTTGCCTGTATTCGATTCTGAAGGTAGATGTTTTCGATGGTTTGTATAGTACTGATTGGCATGTTTCTTTTATACAGTAGGTGTAAGACGTCTTTGAGTTGGATGCGATCGAAAGCCTTTCTCAGGTCTATAAAACATAGATATGCTGGTTTACTGTACTCGATGGGCTTTTCTGTGATTTGTCTTAGTACAAATACGGCGTCTACGTAGGATCTTCCGGATCTGAATCCTTGTTATTCATCTCATAAAGTTATTAGTTTATTGATTTTATTGGTTAAGACTTTTGTGGTAAGCTTAAGTGCGGTGTTCAGTAGATTTATACCTTTATAATTGTTGGGGTCTTCTTTATCTCATTTCTTGAACATTGGTACCATTATGCTGTTTCTCCATGCGTCTGGTATCTTGCAGTGCAATGTTAGTTTATGTATAAGTTTTGTCATCTCTAGGGTTATACTTTCTCCGTCGTATTTTAGAAGCTCGTTGGTTATTCCATCTGATCCTGATGACTTTCTATTTTGAGCGAATTTATGGATATTTCTACTTCCTCAAAACTGATTTCTATTTCGTGTCTTCATTCAGGTACGTTATTGTGTTGATTATTATTTTTCTTTGCTTTAAACAGTTCCGTCAGGTATCTTTCCCATTCGTTTGCTGGTATGTTATTGGATTCCTTCAATTCTGTCATTTCTTTTCGTTGGTTTCTTATAAATCTCGATATTTGTTTTTGTGTACCGTAGAAGTCGCTTTCCATCCTTTTTGTAAACTGTTCCTAGTGTTCATGTTTTGTTCTTCTTACTAACTGCTTAGTTTCATTTCGTATTCTTCTATTTTATTTTTCGATTCTGGGGTATTTGATGCTTTATACTTCGTGTAGGCCTCTCGATTCTCTTTACATTTCTCTTTTATTTCTTTTCTGAACCATGATGTATTGTTGTTGTTTCTTTTGTTCAGTAGGCCTTTGCGTTTTCCTAGAGCTTTTGTTGCTACTTCTTCAATGTTGTTTTTAATTTTCTCCCAGCTCGCGTTTATATCTTTGATGTCATCCTTTGGTACATTTCTCTCCACAACAACGTGAGTCGTTCCACAGTGATTCTACATTGAATTTTTCCTCAGTGATTTACTGTAAAAAATTTTTGTTTTGGTGTTATTTTCATTCTTATCTTTGCTAGTACCTACTAGTTTGTGTTCACTTCCTGCGTCTGATGAGTTTAAAGTTTGGATATCTAGAATTTGATTTGGGTGGATTTTTCCATTAGTGACTATAAAATCAATAATAGATTTATGCCCCCTGGAGTTTTCAAATGTATATTTATACTGGAGCTTATGGTCGAAAAATTTATTATTGATTTTGAGTTCGTTAAAAGCACAGAGATTAGCCATGAGTTCTCCATTTGCGTTGACATGGTTTTCATTAAATCTTTATTTTACTCCTGGAACTATTTGATTTCCGATTCGTGCATTATAGTCACCCATAAGAATTAAAGACTCTTCATAAGGTATTTCAAATACCTTTCACTGAAAAACAAAACAAAACTTTCGCTGGAAGTTATATCGGGTTAAGCACATGGTAAAATGTATATTGGATATCCACTAATAGAGCTAAAGATATGCGCCAGTCAAAGACACTTACATACAATGGTACTGTTTTAGCCCCCAACTACTAATATATATGGTATATATGAGTATATACCATATATATTAGTAGACTATATGGAACCTTATTACTAGACCTGTGCAAGCTAATAAATAATTCCAGAATTCTAGGATTCACATTATAAGTGAATGGAGTATGCGCAATACGCCAATTTGTTGCAATAGGACCAGTTTATAGAGGCCTTCAAAAAAAAAACTCATGCAAAAATGGATTCCTCGAAATAAGCACCTCCTTATAATTCTAGACTTGATTTTATTTGACAGATAGCATATTTTATGTAGACAACTGCGCTAAATTTCTTCATTTACGAAAGGAGCCAGTCCATATAACAACAGTCGTTGTTCCATAGTTAGATGAAAAACTGATAATCAATCTAGTGATGTTTGCGGTAACACAAATATTTGTGTAAATTATCCGAAGCAATGTCGAAACCCCTAAATATAAAATGTGAGAATTTATGTAGTCTATTTATGTGTGAATATGTAATTTATATGTGCTACGTCGTTGAAAATGTTCAATTTATATATGATACAGTATCCCTATGGTTAGATCAAATTATCAGAGGCTGTATACATCACATCAGCATTATCAACTTATTTATCAACATAAATCAAATAAACATATTTAAAAAAATACAGCATTTCTGTAAGACTTTATACGTTAGGTTAAATTATCAGAGGTAATTTGAGGCTATGAGAGCAATAGTGGCCTAACCAACATTTTGTTGATAATTAAGTTATAGATTTCACTTCTAACGACTTAAAGTTTTAAAGCAAAACCGGTCTAACCAACATTTCCGTATATTATAACATAAATCTATCCAGTAAGGTGATTTTGCATTATAGAAAATAAAAAAAAATTGAAAACACAAATGGACGAATCCACGAAGTTGTGAAATAGACCAAAATTGTTTCAATACAAAAATATGTAAAATAATGCAAGCGTGAGCTAACCATCCTCTTTGTAGGATAGACCGGTTTTTAGGAATCCTTTATAACTTTTACAAAGGAGAACATACCAAATTTAATATTGAATTCCATGAATCAATTACGGATTCGTGCAAAAAATGTGATTTGTATAACACTAAAATAAAGTTCTTAACAGTTCAAGCAGAAAAACGTGAATTTGAAGTAACACTAGAGGTTCACCAACGAAAAGCAGAACAACGAAAAGCCGAAAATTCAGATGTGGAATGAAACAAGATGCAGGAAAAATTACAGTGATTGCATTTGACTTGATGCGAACGTTGCCCACACCAGTTATCCGCACTGGAATTTCTTACTATCAACGCCAGTTGTGGACTTACGTCTTAGAAGTCCATAATTTGGCTACTAATAATGCTCATATGTATGTTTGGAACGAGACACAAGCATCACGAGGACCTCAAGAAATATGATCCTGTTTACTGCATTATTTTAAAAATGTTGTTACAACAAAAAATATAATACTATATTTCCGATCAATGCAGAGGACAGAACTGTAATAGTAAAATGGCTGTCCTTTGCGATTTTATTGTGCCACATCCTGATTTTGCACTTCTGCACACTGATCCTGCACTTCTGCTGACCTCTTTAGAGCAGCGGCGTCGAAAGTGCGAATTGCCATGATGGTTGCCAACCTTCTTAGAGAGATGGCACATGAAGAAGAAGATCCTGATATTGTGATGGAAAATATTGATCATAAGTTTTTAGTCAGCGGACATTCTTACCTTGTCTGTGACCAAGATTTCGGAGTAATAAGTAAGCCAATTTTTTTTTAAAGATATCTACGTACCTGACGACTGGATAAAGGTAATAGCACATGCACGAAAGAAATCACATTTTACGGTAATAAAGATGACAGAAAACGATTTTTATTCTACTAAGAAGTTAGAAAGAAATATAACAAATCGCAAACTTGATACACAAAAATCAAAAGTCCGA